CTCCCTCTCTCCCTCTCTCCCTCTCTCTCCCCCTCTCTCTCTCTCTCTCTCTCTCTCTCACACACACACACACACAAATACGCAAACCAAAACCCCTTGAAGGAAATCACAGACTGGGGAGTCGATCTTCCTCTCTGTAGAGAGGGCAGCCATGCCAACAGCACGCGACACGTGCTCGGCAGCTTTTCTTCTTAGGGAAGCCCAAGTCGCAACCAGAAGCGCTCATCCTCCGCACTGGGGAACGGCCGGCACCCACCGGGACCCCTCTGCGCACCTCACCTGCCAGGCAGCAGTCCCGGAAGAGGGTGCCCACTCAGAACGCTGCGCCCTCTGCTCTGCGGGAGAAGATGCTCCACGGCTCTTGCCAGAGAGATGGAGAGACACAGAAAGACAGGGGATGGCCACACCACAATCCCTTCTCCATTCTCCCCGGGGGTTTGGGCGTGCACGCGCACGCCCCTGGTGTGAGTTCTAAGCAGCCGGGTCTGGGACTTGAACCGCGGTTGACTACATGGGAGTCCAGCAACGTAATCATTAGGCTGTCTGCTGGTCCCTCTATGGTTCTTTCTTTGGAGTGATTTTGGAAATTTTTCAAAGTCGCTGTGTCTTATATAGGTATATATATACGTGTGTGTGTACATATACATGTATGTGTATATATGTGCATATACGTGTATATTGTGCATGTGTGTATATGTGTGCATGCATGTATGTGTGTGCATAAGTGTGTATGTGTATATGTGTGTATGTGTGTGCGTGTGTATACGTGTGTATATGTGCATACTGTATGTATGTGTATATATGTGTATAAATGTGTGCATGTGTGTACATGTGTGCATATGTGGTGTGTGTTGTGTGTATATTGTGTGTATACATGTGTATGTGTATATATTGTGTGTGCGCGCACACACACACACACACACACACAATCCCTTACCAGTCTGCAGTGCGTACTTGCTACCTGACGCTGTGACATACGTACAGGTTGTGGGGAAGAAAGGCTGTCCCTGTGTCTTGGGAGGGACCGAGAACAGAGCTTATGAACTAAACGGCACCGGCCGGGTAAGCAGGGGGAGAGCGCGAACACCCCGAGCGCAGGGGCGTCAGTCACAGAGAGGCGGCGAGGATGCCACCCCTGTGCGGTCTAGAAGCTCCCAGCCACAGTCGGTCTCCTGTGTGGGCGGTCCTGTTCCCGCGGAGGGCAGGCCTGGGAGGGGCTCCTGACCCCGCACCCTGTGTGGAGGCCCAGCCTCCAGCAGAGAAGGGAAGTCCCGGAAGCCTCTTCCTGCGCGTTGCCCAACCCGGGCGAGTCGGGCACTGAGGTTGTTCCGAAACTCTCAGGACCTTCCTCTCTGCACTTCCAGGGACAGGCCACAGCCACTTGGACTGTCCACATGACAAGGTCCACTCCCAGGGCCAGCCCCCAGCCACTTGGACTGTCCACATGACAAGGGTTTTTTGTTTTTTTGAGACATTTTTGCTATATGGTGTGTATGCTCACTGGAGAGAGAGAGACAGAAAGCAAGGAATCACCCCCAGGGGGAATGGCCACACCACAATCCCTCTCCTGCATTTTCCTCCTGGGATTTTGGGCATGCACACACATGTGCCCGGTGTGAGTTCCAAGCTGCCAGGTCTAGGACTCAGACTGTGGTTGACTCTGTGGGAGTCCAGCGACGTAACCACTTTGCCATCTGCTCGCCCTGACAAGTGTTTTTATGCTAACGAGCCAACTCACCCTTGGCTGGAGTGTCCTGGACAATGGGTGGTCTTAGGAGGGCTGGTGGTCGGGGAGCTTTGTGATTGGAAAGTTGGGGCTTTCAGCCTCAGCCCTGGCCTCAGAAGACTGGGGGACTGAGGACTCACTGACCACCAGGGCCCACGCCGTCAGCTGGGCTCTGGTCCTATGGAGGTTCCTGGACTAGGCGTAGAAGCCCCCTGTTCCCCCCAGTTCCTGGCCCTCGCTCAGCCTCCTCCTGGCTGTCAGCTGGACCTTTGGCCTTTGTAGTGACCCTCATAATAAACCAGGAATTCCACACATCCCTGAGTTCCAGGGCTGCTGAAGCAATTCAGTGTACCCCGGGAACAGGTCTCTGGGGTCTCTGGCCTGTGGGGTTTCTGGCCTCTCTGTGCTAAGGAGGAACAGCCCAGATGTGTGGGGTCTGAGGTTCCTCTTCTGTGAAGCCCAGACCTGGAGCTCCTCCCCGGCTTCCATGGGTCCCGGCCCTGCCCCTGCCGTCGCCTTCCCCTCTGCTCACACAGGAAGCCCAGGGACCTCAGCTCCGAGATGCAGCCTCTGCTGCTGCTGCTGGCCCTCCTGTGGGCAGGGGGGTGGGGGGGG